ACGTTAATCACATTATAATAGTTGTGAGACTGGAAATTTCTTCCTCCAGCTCTATCTAGTTCTCTTTCTCCTTCCTTGGGTGTTCTGTATGTGTTAGAGGATATCTGAGCCAAATTACGTGTGAGAATGCATGTTTAAGCATTCCAGAGTGAATGTGTAGAATGGTGAGAACTACAGGTATTTATTGTGGTGCCTCTCCAGTTGGAGACTGAGTTTCATATTTGTTTGTTTGATTTGTTTTGCTGCTGGCCAACAGGATTTTCCTATTTCTGCCTTCTATATCTGATGAGAGTGCTGGCATTACAGACACATACAACAACATGCCTGACTTTATGTGGGTTCAGGGGATTCAAACTACACTGAAAATGTTTACTATACTGTGTCATTTCTGTAGCTCAGAAATTCAGTGAATGTGGCAAATAGATGTTCACAAGTAGCAAAACACTCCTTTTTATGAGGTTTGTCAGGCAGTTTAAAAAGTATTACAATATCTGGGGGCTGAATTGGAACTGATTTGATGAATACATTAATCACTGCAAGGATTATTTGCAATCTATTGTAAATAATTTGAAAGTGGTTTTTGAAAAATTTCCCCAGATGACATTAGATCTGGGGAAAATATCCTACTGATTGGTATATAGTTCCAATGACAAACTGCATACATTTTACTGCAGAGGTCAGAATGATCTGAGACAGACAATATAGTTCCAAGTCCAGGCCTATGGTAGGTGCTATTATTAGAATTCTCAAACATATCTCAATAAGTGGACCATTATCCACAAGGCTAGCATGGATTTACTCAATGACTGACAAAATTAGCTACAGGATCAGTAAATTAAAGGAGGTGATTAAACAGAGACTGTTCCACTACAAAAGTATTCTAATCTAATTCTTAGAAAATTACATTGTATTGAGTTGATCTTGTAGCCTGCCACTTTGCTGAAGGTGTTAATCAGCTGTAAGAGTTCCCTGGTAGACTTCTTTGGGTCATTGATGTAAACTATCATATCATCTGCAAACAGTGAAAGTTTGACCTCTTCCATCCCAATTTGTACCCCCTTGATCCCCCTTTGTTGTCATATAGGAATAGCTAGAACTTCAAGTACCATGTTGAACATGTATGGTGAGAGTGGACAGTTTTGTTTTGTTCCTGATTTTAGAGGAATTGCGTTGAGTTTCTGTCCATTTAGTTTAATGTTGGCTGTTGGTTAACTGTATATAGCTTTTATTATGTTTAAGTATGTCCCTGTTATCCCAGATCTCTCCAAGACCTTTATCATGAAGGGGTATTGGATTTTGTCAAAGGCTTTTTCAGCATCTAGTGAGATGATCATGGGATTTTTGTTTTTCAGTTTATTTATATGGTAGATTACCTTGATGGATTTTCATATGTTGAACCATCCCTGTATCCCTGGGATGAAACCTACTTGATCGTGGTGAATGATTGTTTTGATGTGTTCTTGGATCCGATTTGCCAGTATTTTATTGAGTATTTTTGCATCAATGTTCATGAGGGATATTGGTCTGAAGTTCTCTTTCTTAGTTGTATCTTTGTGTGGCTTGGGGATCAAGGTTATTGAAGCCTCATAGAAAGAGTTTGACAAAGACCCTTCTGATTCTATTGTGTGGAATACTTTGAGAAGAATTGGTATAAGCTGTTCTTTGAATTTCTGGTAGAATTCTTCACTGAGGCCATCTGGAACTGAAAATCAGTAGCCCTACTATATACAGATGATATAAGGGCTGAAAAAGAAATCAGAGAAACATCACCCTTTACAATTGCCACAAACAACATAAAATACCTTGGGATAACGCTAACCAAACAAGTGAAAGACCTGTATCGCAAGAACATTGAATCTTTAAAGAAAGAAATTAAAGAAGCCCTCAGAAAATGGAAAGATTTCCCATGCTCTCGGATAGGTAGGATCAATGTAGTAAAATCCTGCCAAAAGCAATCTACAGATTCAGTGCAATCCCCATTAAAATCTCAGCACAATTCTTCACAAACCTTGAAAGAACAATAATCAATTTTGTATGGAAAAACAAAAGACACAGGATAGCCAAAACAACCCTGTTCAACAAGGCAACGTCCGGAGGCATCACCATCCCTGACCTCAAGTTCTATTATAGACCTATAGTCCTGAAAACAGATTGGTATTGGCACAAAAATAGACAGGTAGACCAATGGAATCGAATTGAAAACCCGGATATTAACCCACACACGTACGAACATCTGATCTTTGACAAACAAGCTAAAAAATACAATGGAATAAAGAAAGCATCTTCAACAAATGGTGCTGGCATAACTGGAGGCTGGCATGTAGAAGAATGCGGATCATCCATGTTTATCGCCATGCACAAAACCCAGCCACATTGAAAGTGGGTGGTACCCTTGAATGAATTGGTACAGGAGACAGCTTCCTGAACATAACGCCACTATCACAGACAGTGAGATCAACAATTAATAAATGGGACCTTTGCCTTCTGTAAGGCAAAGGACACAGTCAACAAAACAATAACTCAGCCCACAGAATGGGAAAACATATTCACTAGCCCCACATCTGACAGAGGGTTGATCTCCAAAATTTACAAAGAACTCAAGGAGCAAGTCTCCAAAACATCAAAGGACCCAATTAAAAAGTGGGCTGCAGAACTAAATAGAGAGTTTCAATAGAGGAGTCTAAAATGGCTGAGAGACACTTGAGAAAGTGCTCAACATCCTTAGCCATCCGGGAAATGCAAATCAAAACAACTCTGAGATACCATCTCACTCCTGTCAGAATGGCTAAAATCAAAAACACCAACGACAATTTATGCTGGAGAGGGGGACACTCCTCCATTGCTGGTGGGAGTGCCAACTGATTCAGCCACTTTAGAAATCAGTATGGCGATTCCTCAGAAAAATGGGAATAAACCTACCACAAGACGCAGCAACTCCACTCTTAGGCATATATCCAAAAGATGCCCATTCATACACCAAAGATGTCTGTTCCACTATGTTCATAGCAGCATTATTTGTAATAGCCAGAACTTGGACGCAACCTAGATGTCCCTCAACAGAAGAGTGGATAGAGAAAATGTGGTACATTTACAAAATGGAATACTATTCAGCAGAAAAAAAACAATGGAATCCTGCCTGAGATCCGCAGGCAAATGGATGACACTAGAAGAAACCATCCTGAGTGAGGTAACCCAGTCACAAAAAGAGAAACATGGCATGTACTCTCTCATATATGGATTTTAGACATAGATCTGGGGAGTGCCAGCCTACAATCCCATGGCCAGAGAGTCTGGGAAACAGAAACTTCATTTAGTGGCTGATCGAAGAAGAGGCAGACTCCCTTGGTTAAGTACTGAGCTGAACTCAAGAAATCCAGTAACAGAGAGGGAGGACTGATGACCAAAGAGATTAAGACTGGGCTGGTTTAACCCCCAGAAACAGCTGACCTGACAGAGGTTAACTCTTGAATCCCAGGCATCAGCCTGGGAATCCAGCATGGGACTGATCAAGACCCCCTGAATGTGAGTGTCAGTGAGGAGTCCTAGGTAATCTATTGAGCCTTGGGGAGCAGATCAGTACCCATCCCAAGTATACACACGGACTTTGGTCTCCCATCCAACAATGTGAGTTGCACTCTCACCCTGAACTCTTGGGGAAGGGTCTAGGCCCTGCCCTATATGAAATGACAGACTATGGACACCCCCATGGAGGGCCTCACCCTCCCTGGGAAAATGAGGGGATAGTGGGGGGGGGTTGGGGGGAGGGCACGGGCGGAGGGGAGGGAAAGGAAGAGGGCCCTGGAACTGACTTGTGAAGCAACCTTGTTTCTTATCTAAATTTAAACTGAAAAATAAATAAAAAATAAGTAATAAAAAAAGAAAATTACTTTGTAGTATGCCGATGAAGTTAGTCACCAGAAAAATTAGGTTTAGTCACTTTATTTTTTGGCTTTTATGAGACAGGGTTTTTCTGTATTGTTTTCGAGGCTGTCGGTCCAGGCCAGCCTTGAACTCACAGAGATCCGCCTGCCTCTGCCTCCTGAGTGCTGGGATTAAAGGTGTGTGCCACCCAGCAGGTTTAGTCACTTTTAACTTTAGGTTCCTTTGGACTCTTTCTTATATTCACATTTCTTCCTTGAGTGGTAGGACTTTCACTCTGACTGGTTCCAAGCAAGCCCTGTGTTTCCTCATTTAGGAGGTACATACATCACTGTTAGGGAAGCAACCATCTCTGTATTTTCTTTATACATTTCTTATACAATTATTGCCAAGGCAGAACAGAACTTTTAATTTTCTTTCTCTTAATCAGCCAAAAGTGTACTTTGATTGAGAGTGGTGTACATTGGACTCACTTCCTTAAAATGGCCCTCTCTTTCAGACTGTACAGGCCTACTCCAAAATTATGATGCAGAATCATGCTACATTTCAGACTTTTTCAATACCTGCTTACTATTATTCTTCTAGAAATATTAAATATCCCTCCTGAAAAAATCTAATTTATGCAGTTACATTAAATAATCAACAAATTTTTAAAAAGTGTCTATATACTCTTTTTTTCTTTTTTCTTTTCATGTTTTGTTTTTTTGAGACAGGGTTTCTCTGTATTGTTTTGGAGGCTGTCCTGGAACTTGCTCTGTAGACAAGGCTGTCCTCAAAATCACAGAGATCTACCTGCTTCTGCCTCCTAAATGCTGGGATTAAAGGCGTTCACCACCAAGGCCCGGCCATGTATATATACTCTTGATAGCACTGTCATCATCATGCCAGCATTTCAGAATGTGTGCACAGTAATCACAGTGCTTATATCCAAGTCATTCTCAGTCAAAAACACCTTCTGTAGTATTGTATGAATATGTTGTGAATATATTTCTAAATTTTCTAAAACTAATTTGAGCTTACTTAAAACTTTACCTGCCACACAGTCATTTCTAAAATCAGAACTTTCAAGCGCTTTCACAGAATTAGTGTACAGTCACCTCCCATGGAGCACTTTATCTCACCTTTTGTGGAATCTGGGCAAGGGCCCATGCAACTGTGTTGGCCTTTGCTTCTGTCATGTTGCTGACCATTGACCCCAGAGAAAACACCACAACACCATGCTCTCCAGAACTCTGGACAAAGTCTTCCATTTCCTGAGAAAAGAATTTGCTTCATGACAAATACCAATTGTTGAAAAATCACTTATTATACCTTTATGAAAAAACTAGGAAACTATAAATTAAAGTGTTCCCAGGAATTATTAGAACAGTGGTATTTAAACATAGAAAAAACAAAAATGTCCATGCCAAAGACTTTGAAATTCACAGGCATCACTATCGAGGGGCTCACACATTGTGTAACAAACATTCTAAATATTTCCCTCCAGCAAAATTAAAACTCAGGAATGCAAGCATATTATATGAAATACTCATAAAATTGTTGCTTCGTTTGCACATTTTCATCCTACAGAAAAAAATGATATTTTCCTTGCTATTTTATTTTTCTCTTGTTATGACTCATTTAACATTACTAACTAGTGTTTGATGAAATAATATCTATGATGTAGTATGTCCATATGTAGTAGTTAACACAAACTTCCTACTCTAATTCATAAAATGCTTTGGTTCTTTGTGAAATAATCATAACTGCATGGCAAACATACATCATACAGTAATTTTCTGATTTTGTGTTTAAACAGGGCATTTTCAGAGATGACCTCCATAATTTACTGGTTGGAGATAAATTATATCAGTATTGGTTCTCTGGATATCAAACAATTACTTAATTTTTTCTCTTGATGATTGAAAGTTTCTGAAATAATGAGTTCACCTGGCTTAATTTCTTTGTGTTTTGTGCATGTGTTTATATGTTTACATGCATGTGTGCACGTGTTTGTGTATGTGTGTGTGAACATGTGCATGTGTGCTTATGAGTGTGTGTGTGTGTGTGTGTGTATGTGTGTGTGTGTGTGTTTGTATTGTGGTCCTTGTGAGGTCCCTGCCTTTGTGTTAGCACATGGATGCCAAGAATTTAAAATCTGATGCCTTCCTCCATCAATCTTTAACATAGTTTTTGAGACTCTCCACTGAACATAAATCTCAATATTTTTAACAGATTAGTGGCCAGCAACCCCTCAGTATCAACCCTTTTCTGCATCATCGGTACTAATATCATAGTACTGTGTTGGGACAATCTATTTTTTTTACATGGGTGTTGGGATTCAAACTTACATCCACATAGCAGTTCAGTAAGGACTTTACCCAGTGGCTAATTAGCCAAGTACTATAACTGACTTAATTTAACTCACTGATATGAATATTTCCCAGGTCTATCCCATTCATTCCTGAGTTTATTGATCCCCTAGTTAGCCGGATGCTGAATCCCACTTCCACTATATCTCTATCATTAGTAGAAAATGTAATGAAAGATGTAGAACCACTTTTACCAGAGATTAAATGTAAAAGAGATCTGAAAAAATGTATTTACCTTAGGCAAGGGTTTAGCAGGTTTGCAGTGGAGTCCTCCTACATAGTCAACATTTGGTAAGGTTGGGCGAGGAAACTCCAAATCCCAGTAGGAGCGAATGAGCCACATTTCTGCTTTGCCTATTGTCTCAGCTAAAGTAGTGTGCCTTCCTATATGGAGAAAACGAGCAAATGAGAAATTGAAAAGTTGAAATGAGTGCCATCTGACTATGAAATAAGTATTTTCTTAAAATGATGGAAGAATTTGTTTGATGTGGAACATACACATTTAAAACCAATGTTCTTTTATATGTAACATAATTTACATGTCCAAACGAATTGTGGTTCAAATAATATACATAAATGTTAGCTTGGGTTCATTTTTTAAAGTAGATGATAAGAATTACCTGATGTTTTCTCTGTTATTTGAGAAAATAGTTATTATAATGACCTCTAAACCATTATATGAATGAACACACATTTTATACCTCTTCAGATCCACAAAAGGAACAGTGCAACTATAAATACACATTCCAGTTTCAAAAGTAACACCATGCTGTGTAGCCTGGCCAGACTTGCCCTGGATCATTGTGGTGTGTAGCTAATCCTTTTTCCATGTTTACCAAAGGAGATATATGGCTTATGAATGGCTGAAATTCTGGTTAGTACTTCTATTTTTGTTTCATATCAAGAAATTTCATAGCACTTATCCTATAAAAGTAATCACAGCATTTTCATAAATTATGATATTAGAAATTTTTGGCCAGTCTTAACCATGGTATATTTTTAAGTTAAAAAAATACAACTTCAAAAGGAATAGACTGAGTGCATGTGTACCCATGCTTCTGTAGTGTTTAAAGAGTGGATGCTAGGAAAGTTCACAATAAAGGAATGAGGTGTTAGTAGCAACCACAGTTCCATGTTTAAGACTGTGAATTAACATAGTATCTTTCAAACGTAAGAGAAGAATTTAGGAAACACTTTATGATTTATCTTTTTGTATATGTGTGTGTCTGTGTGAGTATATGATAAATTTATTCAAGTGCCCACAGGGACCATAAAAGGGCAGCAGGCCCTTGAAGCTGAAGATACAGGCAAATTTGAGGCATTGTACCTAGAGGGTGTTACTAACAGAACTCTGGCACTCCACATGAACAGAAAAGAGTCTTAATATTTTGGCCTTGTTTTCACATACCACATTTTAATTTTAAGTAAAGAAGGTGGCATATGCAAGAGAAAATAATTTCTTCAATGTTAAATAAATATTAGAATTGTAAAATATACCATCATTTAATCTACATTAACCAAGATTTGATTAATGAGCTAGTGATTTATTAAAATATATGAAAATAACAGTAAAATGAGAAAAGAATCACTTTCAAAAAGTCTTCTTGAATCTCTGTGCAACTATATATCTCAGCAGAATGTCCTGTAACAGAACTGTTCTGCTTCTAGTTGGTTAATAGTATGAGATTTACAGGGTTTGTGAGTTTGGAAGCTAATATCATATTACATTAGTACACCTATAAAAGACAACTCTCACTTTGTATTTCATGGATGTAAGTATAGATTTAAGTACTTGTGAAATTTTGGTCACTGAGCTGCAGATAAGAAACATAACTTACCCAAAGTTTCACTGTAAAATTGATCCCATTTCTTCTCATTTAGTGACTGGAACCAAAAGTCAAAATAAAGCATACATATCATATTTCTTACCCTCTCCATGAATGTCATTTGACCTCCTAATCCTGACAAAATTATAGGTACATAAGAGGGAGGGACTATAAATCCTCCACTGTTCTTTTCTACTTTGAAGCCAGGAGTAAAGCGAAGAGTGTAAAGAAAAGGGATTTGGAGCAGTTCAGCTATCAGCTCCCCACAGGGAGCAATGGCATCCGAGACAAGGACATCAAACTTGGATTTCTGTAGTTTTGTCATCAGCTGTTTGTTTGAAACTGTTTCTTTACAAAGGCTTAGGTAACTAATAGAATACTCCTCAAACAAATTGTCTAGTAAAGGCCAGTATGATAAACATGTATCTCTTGGTAACTCATAAATCCATATATTCACAACCTTTAGGAAAACTAAATCTAGATCATCTTTACGGAGAGATGTAGGAAAACTCTCAAACTTCAGGTCAGGTGACTTTTCGGGATCAAGAAAGATGGAGGCTGAAGGTCTCAGTACAGTCACTTCATGACCCCTCTCTGTAAGTTCATCCAGTATTATGTTTAGATTCAGCCAGTGACTGTATTCCGTTGGCCATACCAACACCTTCCCACAATTCCCAGATCTGAAGTAGCAAGTCATCTGCAATAGGAGCAGCAGAAGAGACATCCACTGTGCAGGCATCCTGGAAAATCAAAGTCCTCTGTTCATAATATGTTCCCTTCTGTGATTGCTTATCTTTATATTGAACAAGGAAAAAGGCCATGAGTTAAAATATAACCTGATTTGGTCAAAGCAAATATACTAAATGACCACATTGAACTTATGAGATAAAAGGAAATAGTAAATTAATTATTAATTATTTCATATTTGCATTCAGGTGCATAATGTCACATGTTTTGTAATGAACCAAACTTAGGAGTCAATGACCTGTTTGCACAACTCTTCTCTTTCTAAGATATTTGAATAATAAAAAGAATAATGGTTAGCTAGAGGTTAGTCTGCAATTTCTTCTCAACACAGAAACTAACATGTAGTAATTTCACAGCTTATAAGTATTTTATAGTTATTATTTTCAAGATTCTTTTTGCAAGAACATTGATTAACATATTTACTTTCTAAAACAGCTTGACAGTGTGCCTCACTTACTTGACTGACAGAAGCCACGGGAAGCAGATATACAAAGAGCCTGCTCCTACACATCTCCCTAGGGAAACAGTTGAACAAACTGACCTGAATGATACCATCAGCTAAGGCAGTCTGTTGGTTCAACTAATCTGTCCACTGGTCTGTCATAAAACAGAGAAATAGCTGAATATCTTGTTATGGTAATCTTAGTCCCAAAGGCTCAGGGAAGTAGGTGAGTATATGCATCTATGTATCCTCCTCTCATGGAAACACCATGGCCACCATTTTTGAGGTCACCAATCTCTGTAAGATTGCTCATGAAGGACAGGCAATTTTTCTATATCTTCTTGTGTGCCCTGAAGTTCGGCCAAATCTATACATTGTCAAAACATTTTAAGAGGCATTTCCCAATAAATTATTTTATTTTAAAAGCCAGTTTATCATCACCTTGACCATTCCTTCACCAAAACCAAATTGTAGTATTATAGATGTATTTTCTCATGATTTGAAGAAGTAATATCCATCAGTGCTACTAAGGTCTATAGGGTTTTATATGATGGGAACATGTTGCATGGACACCCCACATCATGAATAACAGACACGTTAATTCTTCCTGGAAATTCCCTTTTAGACATACCCAAATATTTCATTCAGTTGTGCTTTTACAAAGTAGCATAGCAATGAGAAAACCCTCAATTCACAAAACTGAATAATAAAAATGAAGAAACACTAGATACTCAAACAAGAAGTAGAATTAGTGAAAGGACATTGTGATTTATTTAATTATAATTAATATGATTGTAGGTTAAGTATAAATAAGATATTAATTGGTCTAAGTAATAAAAACCTAGAGTTAAATGTAGAGGAAAATGCTGAGAGATCAGAAAGAAGGAGTAAACCACTGCCACACCTTACCTCCTTAGTGTCTCAGCAGACAAGCAAGTGAGTTCCTGTTTCTTCCTGCTTATACCCTCTTTCTGACCAGCCACCTCATTTCCTGTTGATCTCTACAGACCTACAGACCTTTATTGTTATCTAGTGACATGCTCCATTCTCTGACTATAAAGATGGGCTTATTTATACAAGCAAGGTATCACTACATATCTCCCTTTTGCTAAAATTTTTAATAAAGTTTATAACTAACATAAGAAATATATACATTAAATACAACAAGTGTATATAATATATACAGGCAGTAAGTACATTAACAATGTCTCATCCATTATCATTAGGCATTTCTGAGAAAATACTCCATAATCTAGTCTTACTTTCTATTCTAATTTGCAATATCAAATTATCCTTTAATGTCTTTCAAGCCTATTACACTTAGCACATCTTCTGTAAGTTTCTTACAGACACATCTTCTGAGTCTGGTAAACAAGGAAAACTATAACTATACTATCTAGTCTTAAACTCCCTCAAAGACCCGAGAAGGAGATAATATTGACTGAGTAAACAGGAAGTGTGTGCAAGTAACTCCTAAAAAATATGAGAAATGTCAGAAACAGCTGGATATCTGGACAGTCACCCAAGATTGCTCTGCAACATGGGGCATCCAATGTCAGCACATAGGCCTAGCATATCTGACAGGCGTTTCTGTGAACACGGATAATCTGACAGACTAGACCTTCATGTCTTGCCAAGTCACTCTTTTTGATATCCTGTGTGTCTAATTTGGACAGCATACTGTCAGTAGTTGAGATAAGACCACTTTCTCACCCTATGGCTTACTTTTGTCACAAACAAAGTAAACTCCAAGTGGAGTTTATTCCATGCCAATCATCTTCTCTGACATAGATTGGTGTTGCCAGGAGCAGACATGCAGACATGCCTCACTGTCGTAAAAAAATCCTATGTTATTAACACATGTTAAATGTCATATTTTGTAGATCTCTAAAGTGTTTAGACATGTTTTGTCTTTCTACATTATCTGTGTGACCTTGTAAGCACACCCAATGTGACTACAAGTTTGATTGTAACAGTTGACTAGTTACTAAACTACATTTCCTTATTATCTCAATAGTTGATAATAATAACTTTCAAGGACTAGAGATTTGTATAATATTGAAAAATAAACTATCTAGGTACAATACCTCGAACAATATTAGAATTGTATGTCCACTATGTTACATATAAAACTTGAAACTCACAAAGACAGGATAGATGATAGAGTATTATCTTTAAATTTTACTAAATGCTAAAGAAGTAAATATCATAACTATAACTCTTGCTTGTAAACTTTGATATATAATTTTACTATGATAAAATTAAAATCTTCCATTAATTGAAACAGAAAAGAGGAGACAGTGGGGAGGTCCTTCTTTATGGTATGAATATATGTTTCTCTTACTGGTTGATTAATAAAACACTGATTGTCCAGTAGCCTTGCAAAAAGATAGGTGGGGCTACCAAACAAGGAGAATTCTGGGCAGAGGGAAGCAAAGAATACTGCCAGAGAGATGCCATGTAAGCCACTGAAGGATTAACAGTTCTGAGCATTATTGGTAATCCAAGACTACACAGAAATACTTAGATTAGTAGAAGTGGGTTAATAATTAAGAGGGAAGTAGCCAGTAAGATGTCTGAGCCATAGGCCAAACAGTTTATAATTAATATGAGCGTCAGTGAGTTTATTTATGACTGAAGGTTGGAGGGACCAGAAAGGACAGAAACTCTTTGACTTAACAGGTCAAATTCCTTAATTAAAATATAAAGACTATTTAGCTCAAACAAACATATGAACATGAGGCTCTTCACTGAGTCTCAAACTGCTGCCTCTCCTTAGTGTGGCTGGAGAACAAATGCCTCTCTGAGACCTTGCTTCTGTCTTATGTACTTTCCTAATGCTGGGATTAAAGGTGCTAGCTATAATTCTCTTTTGGACTGATTTACTCTTGTGTAGACCTAGGTGGTCTTGGACTCACAGATATCTGTCTAACTTTTATTCCTGGGTTGTAGGATTAAAGGTGCATGCTACCACCTCCTAGCTTCTGACTTGTGCATCACCACTGCCTGATCTCTATAGCTTGAAACTGACATTGCTTTTATGACTCCTCTGTGAAGCTTTAGTAAATAATAAATAGCATATCACTAGTATTCTCCTTTTTGTGTAATACAAAAAGAAGGCAACAACCAACTAGAAAAGCTTCTCTAGTGATGCTGAAGGGAGGCTACAATCTGAGACTAGATGAGAGCTAATGGAGACTGTATCAGCCCATTCATCCTGAGGTAGATGTAAGAAGCTAGTGGTCATTTGATTTACTTTTTTGATTTTCATCTTGAACTGCAATAGTGGTCTCTGGATCATTGATTTTTCCTGTTACAATTTTCTTTAACATATCTTCAATGCCTGATATTCTCTCTGTCATTTTTTGTTTTGCAGGTCATGTTTTGAAAACCTTTACTCTACAAAATTCAAAAATTTAAAAGAAATGGACAATTTTCTGGATATGTGTCACTTACAAAAATTAAATCAAGAACAGATAAGAAAATTAAATAGACCTATAACACCTAAAGCAATAGAAGCAATCATCAAAAGTCTACCAACCAAAAAAAGCCCAGGGGCCCATGACCTCAGTGCAAAATTCTACCAGAAGTTCAAAGAAGAGCTTATGACAATTCTTCTCAAAGTACTCATGTAATAGTAGCAGAAGGGTCTTTGCCAAACTCTTTTTATGAGGCTTCAGTAACATTAATACACAAGCCACACAGAGACACAACTAAGAAAGAGAACCTCAGACCAATATCCCTCATGAACACTGAAGCAAAAATACTCAATACAATACTGGAAAATCAGATACAAGAACACACCAGAAAAATCATCCACCATGATAAAGTAGTTTTCATCCCATGGATGCAGGGATGGTTCAACATACAAAAATCCATCAATGTAATCCACCATAAAACAGAGAAACAAAAATTATATGATCATCTCACTAGATACTGAAAAAGCCTTTGAAAAATATCTATCACCCCTTCATGACAAAGGTCTTGGAGAGAGCTGGGATAACAGGAACATACCTAAACATAATAAAAGCTATATACAGCAAACCAACAGCCAATATCAAGCTGAATGGAGAGAAACTCAATGCAATTCCTCTAAAATCTCTCCATACCTCTTCATTATTATACTTGAAATTCTAGCTAGAGCAATAAGACAATAAAAGGAGATCAATGAGATAAACATCGGAAAGCAAGAGGAAAAAATTCACTATTTGAATATGATATGATAGTTCCTTGTAAATTTTGGAGATCAGCCATCTGTCAGATGTGTGGTTAGTCAATATATTTCCCATTTTGTGGGCTGTCTTCCTGCCTTGTTTTCTGTGTCCTTTGCCTTACAAAATCTTCTGTTTCAGGGGTCCCATTTATTAGCTGTCGATCTCAGTATCTGTGCTACTGGTGTTATGTTCAGGAAGCAGTCTCCTATACCAATTCTTTCAAGGGTACCTCCCACTTTCTCTTCTGAGAGTTTCTGTGTGGTGAAATTTATTTTGAGGTCTTTGATCCATTTGGATTTAAGTTTTGTGCATGGCAATTGACATGATCTATTTTTA